TGACACGATGACACGACAGAGTAAAGTGTCGTATGATTGCGTCAATACTGTCGTGATTTCGTGTTGTCGCGTTATGAAAAGGGCGAGATTTAAAAGGGCCACTATCAGCCACCATAGTTAACGGTTCAACCATGCTTTAGTGAATCCAAAGGAGATAACTCTTATAAATGCTTGGGAGCAGACCACCAAATATTCTCCCATTGTTGTCAATTTGCCCGGCTCTAGGAGTCCCTCAAATGTTGGGTTGGAGACTCTCCATCGCGGAGCAAGATTAGGAAATGTCTTGCTTACCCTACCTTTGCTTTTATTCCGATCAGAAATCATGAATATTCACCAAAACCTGGCAGCAAAATATCATTTCGATTCTAGACCAAAAATATGAATATACATGCAAAGGGAGGGAAAGGAAGTAACAACTGAAATGTTAAGGTAAGGTAACCATGCTGGAAAATCACGACGAACTTTTTCGTACATGTTGGTCAATTGTAAGAAATAAGCCATGCTGTCGTCTTATCGCATATTATGTTCACTCTACGTGAATCTAAACTCCACTAAATTGAAACTAAATTAAAGTCAATTTAATATGTTGCATTCGCTGTTGTTAATATACAATTGTGGATTGTCCCGAAATGATCTAATTTGTGTTGAATGGAATAGATCTACCTATTTCACAATGTTATCGATGATGTTTAACATCAGTTACGATGGAAATAATATCTTGTTAATTTCTCGGTGGAACTTGCTATGTCTAATGATGAGATTTAAAACATTTAATGGTAAATGCGAGAGAGTATCGTTTCGAACTGTTAAAGGACAATATTGGTGCCAGTCATTATCACATATGTGATAGAACTAATTAAACACGTTCCAAATATAATTTTATCACAGAGATCATTGCTACGATAACTGAGTAATACAGTTTCCTGAATCGGAAGTGACGAACGCCAAAGGAAAACACGAGCCATCCCTCTATATAACTGACTGATGTGACGAGTGATAACAGATACACGACCGAATATCTGCTCACTAATAATTACTTCCAAGACCAAAAGTTGTTATATGGGACTGTAAGAGGATACCTGACAATTCAATAAAGTAATTGAATGTCATTAGATAAGAGATCACGAGAAAAATAGAAATAGTCCGTACATTCCCTTGTTTATATTCATTCTATACCTTATAAAAACATGGTAATGCACGAACTTTATCTGTTTTTCTTCCGTGTTCTCTTATCTAGTGGCAGTCAATTCTTTTTCTGAATTGTCAGATATCCTCTCACCGTCTCACACAACAACTTTTGGTCTTGGAAGGAATTATTAGGGAGCAGAAATTCGCCCATGTATCTGTTATCACTCGTCACTTCAGTCAGTTATATAGAGGGATGGCTCGTGTTTTCCTTTGGCGTTCGTCACTTTCGATTCAGGAAACCTGTATTACTCAGCTATCGTAGCAATGATCTCTGTGATAAAATTATATTTGGAACGTGTTTAATTAGTTCTATCACATATGTGATAATGACTGACACCAATATTGTCCTTTAAAATTGTAACTTTTATACGCCCACATGGCTTTAAAAAATATTCATCCATAAAAAAGTTTTTGTCAAAATTTGCCGCCTAATATCTGCGAAAATGTGTCGAATACGGTGTACATTTTTCATTTTGCATTATGATTATCGATAAGGAGAAAAATTGATATAACTCTATGGCTTGTTTTTGAATACTATAATTTTTGGGAATGTATGTACATGTACTTAACATTAGCCGGATCTGAATAAATATTGTTTAAATAAAACGGTACGAAACATCAAACGAAACTTATGATATTTGAGATTTGATAAATGACGTATTAATTAGGTGCGCATGATACGAAACTGTTCTAATCGCTAATAATATGTACATTGAAAGGGTTGGCTTGCCAATGTTCTGGAACGGTCGTTGCCAATGAATTTTTAAATCGAATAATCTGTTCACAATTAAACAGAACAGACATCAATATACAAAATAACCAAATTAAAGTCTGTTCTCATTATGTAAGAAAGGTACAGTTTATCTTCATTTAAATGAAACAGAGTAATGTCGACGAAACTAATAAGATTTTAGATTTGATAAATCACGAATTAATTAGGCGTGCATGGTGCACCACTGTCTCAGTCGTCGATAATACACGAACATTACATTTATCAAACATCAAACACGATTTTTAATTAACAGAATTTAAATCAAGTTAATTTGTCGGCGGAACGTATTATGACTGTCTAAGTTATCTATGTTAAACCGAATGAATCATCAGTGGACCTAATCAATTTGAATTCAAATCGATAAAAATACCGACAACTTAAAAAAAAGATCAGCTAACATATCATTGTTAAACTTGTATATAAAACTATTGGACGGTTCATTAGTTATAATACTTGTTAATTTTTCAAATATAGCGACCATTATTAACAATAGTATTAATAATATCGCGCTGTGTTGATAAAGTACCGTTAATATAACAAAGATAGCGACGATATCGTACTGTTACTATTAATTTTATCAATGCTACGAGTAATATAACACTGTTTAGCTCCACGGAAACTTGTTAATACGGTATAGAGGGTGAGATAAAGAAGCTATTAAGGTAGCTAAGTCTCTAACTCAATATCATCCAAAATCTTCGACATTGAAAACACGAATTATTTGTCAATTTAAATCAACATTGATGTTGTGATCTTACGGGGAAAAGATGGGCTTCTGATATCCAATAATTAAGACAAAATAAACATTTTACCGTTGGTACACGAATCGTACGTGTACCATGGTGCATTTCAGCGCCATTTTTAACAAGGGACTCGTAGAAAAAGGCTAAATATATTCCACAAGTCATGTCAAACGGTGACGTCATATTCTTATCTGGAGACAATGCACAATAAATACTATCGGTACAGAGTGGAATAACCAGACGCTAGAGCTTGCCATTGGATTGAGACTTCTGGCTTATTTCGCCGAATATAACTGATTAGAAATTGCAGTAAAAACAGAAACGATTGAATGTAAATCAGCTTATATACATTACATTATTATATACGTTGCGACCCATTTGTGTCAATTTCTAGATCCAAAATATTAGCGATTTAGCTCCTTTAAATATAGTTTAACTTTTGAAAATCATTATTGTTATTGTGAAGAGTTGTTCTGTATGAATCACACGAGTTATATAAAATATGTGAAGTATTTATCACGTGATTAGGAACTACTTTTAACTGTGTTATAATATATTACACTCTGACAATAGTCCGGTAATTGGTACTTTATTCTAGTATGATACAATACAATTATAGGTAAACTAGTTTAACCTTTGACCTTGGCTTCTATAAACTAAAGCAAATATGGAACACCACTTTCAATTAATCAGGATTGATTCAGATGTCAAACTGTGTCAATAATTTCTATTGGTTGGTTTATTATGAGGATAAACTAACGAGATAAACAGATAATCCTATTATTATAATTAACAACATCACTCAGATTATCTCTAACAATCCGATTAAAAACAAACTAATTTGATGTTTGAGGGTGTTATAGTGTTTGCCGCGTCTGTTCAGAAGTTGATAGGCAATTAAACCTGTATGAGCAGCGGAATCGCAGACGTTACATATTTTTGTGAGAAAATATGGAGACCACCCCAACCCCCAAAAGGGGGAACGACAGGTATTAGAGATTGGAAAAAACAATGTATCCTCTCTTTGATGTTTCCTCTTCCGTCACGAGCTACCACATACATCATGGATGCGCGATAGTCACATACATTGTTTTAGGTATAAAATAGGTCGATAAAAGTCGATTGATTTTGCGATGTTCTATAGCTAAAATAATACACACATTATTTATTTATTTAATAATCTCACATAACACTGCGCAAATAAATGATGCTATGGATTTCTATCCTAAATGTTAACTGCGATTTGACCTAGTTTCTGTTGAGTTAGCGTTACCCCCCCCCCCCACACACACACACTCTCTCTCTCTTTCCATCTCTCTCTCTCTCTCCTTTAGTTAACCTCGAGGTTAGGCGGGCGGCGACCCTACTCCTTGTCATGTACAAGTGTGGTATCTAAACCGCGCTACTTGACTCAATGCCAGACATTATTTTGTTAGGCCCTTTGGGCACTCATACTCCTCACAGTGTTTGGTTTGATTAGAGCTAATCTCACTTAACACTGCTGCAATGGAAGCAAATTTCTGTTCCAAATTATGACTGGTCAATAGTCCGATTACCAACCAATAGCTAACTGCGTAACAATATCATTATGTTTTAAACAGAGCTCCAAATTGGACGAAATATGTTTACATAACGTTACGTCATGACTCACGATTTTATTATGCCCACTTGACCAGTGCATTGCAGAATATTGCAGAAAAACTAATTGTGTGACAAACGAGGCTGTCAACACGTATACAATGTAAACAATACTGTTTGGAGACGAACAATACTTTCACCGTTTTTAATACCTTTAATCCCTTGTCAGTGATGCAGGACGGGCCCGGCAAGGACAGCTGTTTAGTCGTTCGGATGGGACGAAAACCCGAGGTACCGTGTACACATTGAAGTACACGTAAAAGATCCATTGACAGTCGGAATTCAATATGAGAGTAGGCCGTAGTGCCGCTGTCCGGGCGAATTTCCTCATAGCACACTGTATGGCTTATGCCCGTCTTCATTAGCCCAGTTCGGAGCAGAACAGTAGGATGTTAAACCCCATTTCATTTCATTTAATACCTTAAATCACCGTCCAAAGTTTTAAGACCCCAGATTAAACGAAGGGCTGTCATGTCGCTGTAGATTTGATTGAACGGGAAGAATAGACATACTCCCTCAAAAGCTCAAGTATCAGAAGCCAATCCAGCAATGGCGAGAAAGGGATTTCTCGGACCATTGCTTCAGGAATATGTTGGGCACCCAGCCACTGTATAAGAAAACAGGTATCATTCTAAGTTTGTATTTCTTTTATTTTTGCATATAAGAATATTAAAAGATCTCATCTCTAATAAATATATAAATAACTATAGTAGGCACATCACTATATAATATATATATATATATATATATATATAATAAACTATTGCTTGCACTCAACACATATAATATACTAATAATCTACGTTTCAAACTATTAATAAATACTATTAAATACATACATTTCTATCTTAGAAGGAAGAAATACAATGAGGTTTATTGTCCATTTACAGACCAACATAATTTTCTATGGTACAGGGGAAATGAAATGGGGTTTTGGGATCCTATATATTCGTTAAGGGAGGAACCCCAATATTGAAGAAAATCGGACGGCTTCTATAATACGCCTTGTACATTTGGCAGTCGAGTGTCGGGGTAGGGGTAAATTCCACCCCTAGTCCAATCTATGTGTAGGAACAGCCCAACCTGAAATATAATTTAATAAACGTGGCAAAATTTCAACACGTGTGTCCAAACGAATAACCCACTGAACAGGGTGGGTGTGTTGTGCGACACCGCGAAAGTAAATAAATAAATCGAATGTCGTTTTTTTTAGTCTTAAGCGCACATTAAAATCCATTTGTGACAACATTTTATTGCTCCGTCGGCGCCGATGTTCAGGTAGGGACTAGGGTGGATGAATAAAATCTATACGCGGGTTATCCGTTTGGAATCGAGTGCTGACATTTCGCGACCATCAGATCTAAATATTAAGGCTACCTGAAGATTTCTTCAAGGTCACGAGATGTAAACAGAGTAAAGGCACGTGATTGTTGCCGACGATTGTGGGTTAGGCTTAGGGTAAGGGTATAGGTTAGGTCTTGGGGTAAGGTTGGGGTTAACGCTAGCTTTGTTTACATCTTGTGACAAAATATGCAGGTGGCCTTAGATCTAATCATTTTGCGACGGTCCCTCAACGCTCTGGAACACAAACATATACGAGAACATTCAATATTTAGCAATATGTTTTAGCACAATGACAAAAATTTGCTGGAATATAATCTGCCTTAATATAATACATAATAACTTAATAATAACATGTCATTCATTAAAATCAATTATATTATAATAAATTAAATAATTATAGAAAAGTTAATAATTCTGATGAATAGGCTATATATAATAAAATGTTTATATACAATCAAATGGATAGAATAAAATATCACAGGGTTCAAAAGTCATAAATTAACATAATAATATTCATTAACAAAACAAAGTTTATAACTAAAACAGGACGTATATCGATAGAGAGAAATGGGCATTAACGTCAACTCGACACAAACTGTGTCATTTCGGACCTAACATATAGTTCAATATATATATAAATAATTCGCTTGCGCACGGGGGTCTGTAGCAGTGGTTGGAAACAGGAGGACCCGGAGAAATGATAGGCCCTACCACGAACATCGAGACCAAGATACATCTGTGATATATACATTTGGTGTCTAAATAATGATCTAAAGTTAAATTGGTTTTCTGTAGCATTGCGGCTTTCAACAAATGAACGACATGAGTCCACGGTTGTATCCGTAGCCATAACGACACTGAATACACCTCGACGATCTGTATAGCTAAACTGATTACAAAGGAAATACTGTATCTCTAAGATCTATAAATAGTTAATCAATATTTAACTTGGTTTTACTTATGAATAAATAATAATTTTATCGTGACTGTATGATTATTCTTTAAATATAAAAAATGTCGTAAAATAAAACTTCCATTTCATTCTGGTAAAGTTTAAAAATCGAGGATATGTTCTTAAATAAATGCAACAATTAATTGAACAAATGAACACAATTCGATATCTAAAAATGGACGTTTAACACTTCACAGACCTATTTCTTCACCTCTTATTAGCATTGTGGTACGATCTGTTTCATACATCTCACATTGGTCATCATAAAATATGGATATAAAAAACAATACACAATTGAACACATTTTGAGATGATAACGTGGCTCGTTAACCTTTCGCGTATTGATCCGTTCCATTCATAATATATTATATGCCTTGCACACGAGAATACTCAAGAACACACGGGTTGACTGTGTAGCACCATTATTTATTGATGTCTGTCTCATTCGTTTATATATTCGAACCGGGATCGTCTGAACTTCTGTCACCGATTTGTTCCATGATCTGCGACGATGATGAAGATGTTGGTGACAATGGTGAAATTAATGGAGGGGGTACAGGTGATACGTTATGTGGTGATGGAGATGGGCTCTGTTGCACTAAAATTTGGCGGGAATGAAATGATTCAAGATCTTCAGAGGTTTCAATATCTATGATATCTTCTGATATTCGCTGTCTTTTTCGTGGACGGGAATCGTCCATGTCTGGTTCTGGTCGAGCGCCAGATATCGAATGTTGGTATGATTCGGATAAAGAGCTCGTTGAAGATGTTTTTTCCAACTTCGTTTCTGATTCGCTTTGTTCAGATAAATCTTTATAAACACTAGTTTCTTCTGCTGCCGTCTGTTCTAATCGTGTCGCACTAGACTCTACAGTAACCTGAGATTGGGTAAGCCGTTCTTTAGGTGACATCGACGGATCATAATAATCTCCTTTCAACCAAACATGGCGGCCACCACTGATGTAATGACGAAAGTGGCGTATAACACGACTGCCAATAGAATCGTACGTTTCTCCCATAACCTGAAATATACAAATGTAAAATTGTTTTAAATCACAATATGGCGATTTATCAATACACATTTAGCTAACTTTAGTTAGTACAGAACATATAGCACACTCACAATTAATACAGTTGTCTAAGAGAGGGAAAAATGGCGAGTGAAATGAACACAAACCACTTTAAACTAAAAATGATCATAACTTATACAAGACTTGTTCCATATGAATAATATTTGGACCAAAATGGTGGGATATTCTTTTAATAAAAGCAGTTTTGAACAGGGCCTGTTTTAAGGTTTTATTGTCGGTTTCAGGAGAATTGAGTTTGTAGAGTTCCTTCATACATCTTCTCAGAGAGAGAGAGATAGAGAGAGAAATGGGGTTTAACGTCCACTCGACACAAACTAGGTCATTTCGGGACTACCATATGGTTTAATTTTATTTCAATAATTCGCTTGCGCGTAGGGGTCTTTAACAGTGGAAGGAAACCGGAACATCTTCTCAGACTCACAAGGAACAACACGATTTTTCAAAGCACGGATATCTGAGTTTCGATACAAGGATATTTCATCCTGACGCACACCTGGGCCTGTAAGTGCCTGTAGGCACGTTAAAATAGGCCCTAATTCTGAAAATGCATGGTCTTGTCCACTATATTTAATTAACCTTTATTCCGTCAAATTGTGGCTTTCATTAACAGTACTTACCTCAATTTCTAACTCTTCATTTCCAATGAGTAAAGTAGCTTTATAAAGATTTTTAGTTTTAGAAGCATGTACGCCACGGCTCTGTATAGGACCTATTAATTCTAGATCTAGTTTTTGTAGAATTTCTTCTCTAACTGTGACTACATCACTACCGGAATCAACCATAAACTCTGTAAAAAACAAAATACAAAAATGTTATTTTATCTATTTACGAATACAAAAGTTTAGCTACTTGATCTTGGGAAGAGTGACCAGGTAAAAGAGGGAGCATGCGCTGCATCGTACATGATAGTCAGTCACAACTTATAGTTGGACTGGCGTTTTAGAAACCGAATTTACTGTGTAGAAAATGGTTAAAGACATACATAATACCCCCCCCCCCCCATCAAAAAAAAAAATAAAAAAAATAGAATAAAAATAAATAATGTGTGTATAATTTTAGCTATAGAACATCGGAAAATCAATCGACTTTTATCGATCTATTTAATACCTAGAACAATGTATGTGACTATCGCGCATCCATGATTTATGTGGCAGCTCGTGACGGAAGAGGAAACATCAAAGAGAGGATACATTGTTTATTCCAATCTTTAATACCTGCCGTTCCTGGGGGGGGGGGGTCCGTATTTTCTCACAAAAAATATGTAACGTCTGCGATTCCGCTGCTCATACAGGTTTAATTGCCTATCAACTTCTGAACAGACGCGGCAAACACTATAACACCCTCAAACATCAAATTAGTTTGTTTTTAATCGGATTGTTAGAGATAATCTGAGTGATGTTGTTAATTATAATAATAGGATTATCTGTTTATCTCGTTAGTTTATCCTCATAATAAACCAACCAATAGAAATTATTGACACAGTTTGACATCTGAATCAATCCTGATTAATTGAAAGTGGTGTTACATATTTGCTTTAGTTTATAGAAGTCGAGGTCAAAGGTTAAACTAGTTTACCTATAATTGTATTGTATCATACTAGAATAAAGTACCAATTACCGGACTATTGTCATAGTGTAATATATTATAACACAGTTAAAAGTAGTTCCTAATCACGTGATAAATACTTCACATATTTTATATAACTCGTGTGATTCATTCAGAAAAACTCTTCACATAACAATAATGATTTTCACAAGTTTAAATATATTTAATAGCTGCTTTATCTCCCTCTCTATACCGTATTAACAAGTTCCCGTGGAGCTAAACAGTGTTATATTCCTCGTAGCTTTGATAAAATTAACAGTAACAGTACGATATTGTCGCTATCTTTGTTATATTAACGGTACTTTATCAACACAGCGCGATATTATTGATACTATTGTTAATAATGGTCGCTATATTTGATAAAATTAACAAGTATTATAACTAATGAACCGCTCAATGGTTTTATACAAGTTTAACAATGATATGTTAGCTGATCTTTTTTTTAAGTTGTCGGTATTTTTTTATCGAAATTGAATTGAAATTGATTAGGTACCCCCGACGATTCAATCGGTTTAACATAGATAACTTAGACAGTCATAATACGTTCCGCCGACAAATTAACTTGATTTAAATTCTGTTAATTAAAAATCGTGTTTGATGTTTGACAAATGTAATGTTCGTGTATTATCGACGACTGAGACAGTGGTGCACCATGCACGCCTAATTAATTCGTGATTTATCAAATCTAAAATCTTATTAGTTTCGTCGGTATTACTCCGTTTCATTTAAATGAAGATAAACTGGACCTTTCTTACATAATGAGAACAGACTTTAATTTGGTTATTTTGTATATTGATGTCTGTTCGGTTTCATAAACATAATTCATTAGTATTTTCTACGATGTTTTAGTGAATCCACCAAATGCAAAATGTCTAAAATCACTCGTTATGTTTCCACTAGTTGTTCCAGAATATGTTCCAGGACATGGGAAAGTCAACACTTTCCCTAGAATGATGTTTTATATAATATTTAAATACAGTGTTAAAAAAGTAGACTTACGAAGTCTTTGACTGTCATCAACGTTATCTTTGGTCGATGAAAGTAGGGCGTCCACGCATAGAAAATCGTATTTAGCTTCTTGCAGGAATTCTGGTTTACCCCACCATCCTTCAGTAACTGGTGATTCGAACTCGGGACTCATCGACCGTCGTTTTCTTCTTAACTCTAGTACTAAAAAGGAGAATATAACATAAAGCTTTGAAAAAAAAAACAGTTCAACATAGGCTTATCAAAATTATTCGAATACTATAAGTAAGCGAGATTTTCAATTCTAATTGTCGGCCAAAGTTAAAAATGAATAATAATTCGCATTTTCCAATAAATCGGCTAAGCTGAAAAATATATTAAGAGCTATTTTAGCCGAAAAGATAACAATAAATCTCAGATAAGCAGTAAGTAAATAATACTGTAAATTTAACCCCTTTCAATTCACCAAATCACTTTGCATATGTATAAGGCGCATGCATATTATAATGTGAAGTTTGTGAACACTAGCCAGGGCCGTAACCATAGCTCAGAGCAACGAGGGGGTGTTGTAAAATTGACAGACAATGTATATCTATTGTTTTTATGGTCGACAATTTGTTCACCGAGGGGGGCGGGGTACTTTTTGTGGGGTGGGTGGGGGGGAGCTTCCCCTAGTTACGGACCTGGCACTATTATACTTTCAATTCAACAGTTACACACTACTAGTACAAGATCCGTATATACGACGAAAGTCTGCACATTGTCATTTAAATTAACCCTTATTCAGAGATAAGGAATGTCCATATAGAAATATTATATAATTAAATCCATGTAAGACTTATATTAAACAGCTATAATAACTCCTTTCTTTACAAACCCAGTGAATATCGTAGCTTTTGTTGGAATTCTCACACTCGATAAAAGAAGTAACCGCACATCAAAACCGATTACCGTGAAAATCAGCGACGTAAATACCGTTACAAAATAATCCAACCAATTTTGAACAAATGAGGTTTCTACGCGAACAGCAAGATCTTGCTGGTATATTTCCTAAATTAAATCAAAGCTTAGTATCTTCCCTGCGGTGCCTCACGTTTTGTAACAAATGACTTTCGATTTCGCTGTGTTAACTTTAATGCAACATCGTAAACCAGGATCTTTAACTTAATGCGCACTCAAGCTCAGTGACCAGGAAGTTATTCACATTATCGCACATTATTTTAATGCTTTAACGCAGCTCTGAACTTCGGTCAGTTGAACAGTAACTAAATCAATATGATTTTCGTCCGAACTGATTAAAAATATGGACCTTGGGTTCATGATTAAAATTAGATCTTTTTTCGTGTCGGTTTTAATAATTTCGTTGGGCATTATATTCCATGCTGCATACTGTAGTTTGAAGGTAAATAGAAAAACGTAATGGATTAAAAAGCGAAACGAAATAAAAGTCAGGTCAGATTTTACGTATACTATATTATGTAATTTGTCGAAAAAATATCAAATATCTCACCAGCTTTTGTCAATCTTTTCTTGTGACCAGGTAACATAATTTCCAACTCATCAAATATTTTTTCATCAGGAAGTTTCATCTGGGCTATTTCTTCAAAATCCGTTAACTCCCCGTTTACAAAATTAACAAAATAGTAATCCAATCCATTTTCCTGTAGCCATACGTGAAGACGATATTCTTGGGATAGACAGTGTTGGGAAGCTGTAAAGACAAAAAGTAGCAACACATGTAAATTGACACAAACTTATATTTAAAAAAAAGAAGTACAGCTTGGTTTAAACAATATTATCCTTAATATAATTACATATAACCATACAATTTTAGAGGATACACCTTGGCGTATGAAATGATAAATATTGCGCTTTGAGAAACGTCATTTTCATATGTAAAATTGAATTGGGACATGGCGTTGAATACTTTATTTAGGCATAGATCATACCGTATTATCTATGATTTAAGAAATGCAACTCAATAGGGCTTCATAATTTAAAAACAAATGAAATCCAATACATTAAATTACAACCTAGATTAATCTCTTGCAATCAATGATAATATTTTTAAAAAAGCAATCCATACAAATAACCAAGATTATAACGTAGTATAGTAGACGACCTAATCATCCATAGCCATAGCCTATATAGAAAATTTTATAACGTGTGATAGGCTATGCAAAGTGTTTTATACATCACAAGGAATCCGTAGCCTAAAGATACGGATAACCAGGTACGGATTAACTCGTGTTAATAACCATTATATATACACACCTTTTCGTTTTAATACGACCCTGTGTTCCTTTTGAGTTATCCTCATTTCATCTAAATCATCGTCATTAAGATCTAAGAGATCGGTTTCCATGTCATATCCCTTCGTGACGAAGGCTTCATAGTATTGCGGTAATCCTAATTCTTGCAAGAAATGTTGAACACCTTCAGTCATAGCTTGGTAGTTTTCGTTCATTCTTCATGAAACACCTTTAACCGATCGTAGTAGTAAGACTAATAAGGATCTCGAATGAGTAAATAACGGTAAATTGTAATTTATAGAAACATGTCCAGATATGTTTACGGTATTGTGCACAAAGTATTGTACCTGGGTCATTGTAGTAACTTATGATTGGTCGAATCATTGTGGATGCGTCCCTGGAAACAGTTAAACGACCAATCAACACCGCGTGGGAATTCTTGCCGTAACTTGGATAGTCTTGATCAACTAGTTACTGATTGAAAATAGATTTTACGTCATGAAAACCAGGACTAAAAAGAACGCGAAACGACTCGTGGTGACCTACTTGTTTGCCATGTGTAGCTATTTTTAGATTAAATCACGTGACTGTAGTATACCACGTTTATCAAGATGGCGGCGCCGGTAGAAGCAGGAGATGGTAAACGACCCGTGGCTTTAATCACTGGTATTACAGGACAGGTAATGTTTGTTTAAGCCGTCAGTAATAATGGGACATTAATTGGATTTACCATTGAAGCTATTTTAAGTCCGTGTTATCCGATTAATCCATTAACTTATCGTAATATTGAGTAAGCAATTTGACATAAAATTCACGTTTACACAACCAGTCAACCTTTTATTTTTTATTGACACTGTGTCACTGACAACAACGGAAAACATTACCGTCAACAATATCAGCCATAATCGATATTTAATACAGTGCCAATCAATTAATTAATTCACAATAAATGAATAACCTTAGACTTACCAAATTATCCAAATTCAATGGGTAAACTAATTTTGTTAAATGAACGTCAAACCATCCCGTTTTGGATTGGAGGAAGGGTCAGGGTGTGACTTAATTTCTGGACCAGAAACTACTGTACGTTTTGAACCATCGTAAATTTGTTCATAATCGAAGAAATCCGTTTGAAATTTACGATGGTTCAGACAGTAGTCCCTAATCACTAATCATTTTGTTGTTCTTCTTGGTGGTGACACTTTTTGAAAAAAACCAAGACTCCACCAATTCATTTTCAAGTACAATTATTATTAACATGAAACTTGGCATGGTTGTTCTTTGGACAGTTGTTCATTGATGACAGACTTTGATGTCACAATTACAAGATGGCAGTGATGACTTTATGCTGGGCTCCAGGCCCATGTATATGTAGTAGTACTTATGTACTTGTTACTGCCAAAGAGCATGGGACACAATTTTACTAGCAGCAAGCAGTTGCTGTAAATGGTCTTTAGTTTAAAGGTTTATAAAAAATGACCAAAGCAGGCATTCATAATGAGAAATGGTGCCATGGCAAGAAGTTGTATAAATATGAACAGAGTATGCAATATGCATAGGGTATGCAATATGCATGTAAAAGATTGAAATATGTTTGATAAACAAGACATCAATGAGCTAGAAATACTGCAGTGGAACAAATTTAGCAAGAGGTATAATAATAATAATGAATTTGTATAGCGCCTCTCATCTAGAACTGTTCTACTTGATGGCGCTGAGCTGGACTGTCACAAACATGACCTCTTTTGATCAATTTCTTATAGCCAGGGTATTCCCTGACAATTGCAATGTTTTGAGAAGGATTTGAAGCAAAATTATGATAAATTAATTAGTTTGAATATGTTTTTAGTCCAAATGTATCATCAAATCACCCAGTTTGTACCCGGGAATGTATCTTTAATAACTGATGGTGATATATTCTAAAAAAGATAAAGGAGGACAGAGACTAATTTTCCAATCTGATTAAAATACAGATCTATATTTCGTTTCGTTTTTTTTATACTTTCGATTCCCTCTACTACATGATGATCTGACCTGTTGTAGTGGGAGGTCACGTCAGGGGTCATAAGAGCGGCTTTTGACCCTATGAAGTCAGACATTTGATTAACCAATAGCATTGATGTTTCTAGTGGGTTATCCACAGTTCCGTGCACCTCACACCAAAAACCCGGCGTAACACTAACAGACTGTTTCATTAGCTAATCCCTCACATCATCCAGAACGCAGGTTATATAACAACTCTTCTAGGGCCTGGTATAGTAAAGACAAGTAAAATGAAATTTTGAACTATACAAAACGAAACGAAATTGGATCAGGGTTTTAATCAGATTGCCAATTTTCAAACACAGGTTTTTGGCAAAGAAAAAATCATACAGTCCAAATGACAAGTGTTTACAGTTTTCAAATCATTATATCAACATAATCAGTACACTAGTTCTACTCATACAATATCGATCAACACCTGTTAAGAATTTATCGGACTAATATTGCTTATTTGATACTGCTTAAATTATTCATTTTCATTAAATGATACAAAATGATCGTGATAGTCCTCTAAATTCTAAACAATCAGTACTGATCTCCTAAATGGACATGGTGTCTTGCTGGCTAAGTGGGTAAGACGCTAGCTCGCTTGCCTGGAGGTTGGGTGTTCAATCCCTGCATTGACCGAGAAAGTTCATCCAGATTTTCCAGTGTGGTTCCTCCTTGTCAGTGATGCAGGATGGAGGGCCTGACAAGGACAGCTGTCTTGTTGTTCAGATGGGACGAAAAACCGAGGTCCTGGGTATTCATTGGCGTGCACGTAAAAGATTCCTTAACAGTTGGAATTCGATATAAGAGCAGGCCGTCTTCATTATCCCAGTTTGGAGCAGAACAGTAGAACGTTAAACCCCATTTCATTTCATTACATTTCCTAAATGGACTGATAAAATAGTTCATAAACACATTTGAGGCGATGATTTATGTGGATTTGATTTCATGGTTAAACTAAAAATAACGGACAAGGTTTAAGTACATTACACACCATACTACAGCAAGATTTGGATATTGTTTTGTTTTGGTTTTGAATAAAAGAACATTGATTTTAAAGATTATACATGTAGTTGTTGTTTTATGGTGGAGCCTGGTAAGATTTGACTTGTATCTCATGAATTTTAACGTATTTTTATTTTAGGTTTTGAAATATTTTTTTATTGGTTTTTAAAGGTTCTTAGTTGATTGTCCAAGCTTAATTGTAGTTGTCTCCCTTTTTTGATTTTTCCATTATATTTTGGGGAATCAAACCTTTTGATGGTATTGTTCATTTTAAATATCGATAGTGTATTATTCAAACTATTTATAGCAAATAACAAGGTTTCCTGACCTAGATCAGTTCTTAAATAAATTATGAAACCACAATCACAGTTTCACACTGGATCAGGGGTTTGGATGGCCGAATGGTTAGCATGTGCCCGTTGTATCATAAGGTCTATCATTGAGTCAACTGGTGTGGTTTCGATTCCCCGGTTATAGATGACAAGGAGTAGGGTCGCTTGTCCGACCTTGTGGGTTTTCTCCGGGCCCTCCTGTTTCTTCCCACTGCTAAAAAGGCCCACACACAAGCGATTTATTGAAATCAAATTGAATCATATGTTAGTCCCAAAATGACCTAGTTTGTGTCAAGTAGACATTAAACCTTCTGTCTCTCTCTTTCTAAAAATTTGTCTGTGGTTGATAATCCCAGAGAGATTAAAGCACAAAGTTGGGGTCTTCAAGCTGTCACAACACAAATGTTATATTTATCTTAAGGCCTGTTTTCCATGTAAGTGTTACAACGACACAATCCCATTACATGTACATTGCATTAGACCGATTTTTTCGCCAGTAAAAAGGCACAGGGAAACGTCACAAGAACGCATACATGGAAAACAGGCCTAAGTCAGAAAAGTATATGAAGACATGTCATCTTCTATTGGTCAATAACCATAATTTCCATAAATTGAATGTTCAGATTTTACATGTAGGTTGTTCTAGTTAATATATTCCCAACTGGCATGACTGCATCATAGTTTGGGGATCACGGTGGGTAAGACGCTGGCTCGCTAGACTTGAGGTCAGGTGTTGATCCCTGCATTGGCCGAGAAAGTTCATCCAGATTTTCCGGTGTGGTTCTCCCTTGTTACTGATGCAGGACAGAGGGCCTGACAAGGACAGCTGTCTAGTCATTCGAATGGGATGAAAAAAAGAGGTCCCATGAACACATGGACGTGCACATAAAAGATTCCTTGACAGTTGGAATTCGATATAAGAGTAGGCCATAGTGCCACTGTCTGGGCAAAATTTCCCTTGTAGCACACTGTATGGCGTATGTCTGTTTTTATTAGCCCAGTTCAGATCAGAACAGTAGGAAGTTAAACCCCAGTTCATTTTATTTCATTTAGATCATAGCTTAACTAAATTGTAAGATCTCAATGACGATTTCATTTTTGTCCGCCATTTTTCCCATCCTGTCTGATTCTAGACTTTTTTCTCAGACAGTATTGACCTCTTCAAGACAAATATCTGCAATATTGCCCTAAGTTGAAGTGGGTGTTAACTTTTAATCCTTAACTAGTTGAAGTAGTACTGAGTTGTTTAGCTGATCAGCCGATGTCCCAAATGGAACACTGAATATCAATTGAGTTCATCATCTCATGACCCTAATGCTTGCTACCAAATTGGACAAAAATCATTTCAAAACTATAGCCTCGATCACATTCACTAGGGTTTTTGAAACCAGGGGCTCTCGGAAAGAAGGCTGCTGAACACGCCTTGTCTTACTACCACAATGCTTCACATCAAGGTGTACATGTATGGAAGAGGGGTAGCAACTCTGTAATGGATGAATATTGATAGGGGTTGACCTCTTATGATCCCCAATTCTTCACACCAAATTTATCGCATTTTCAAAGTATTTGGAAAAGGGGGGATTAACTCTTGAGCCGTTCATACCAAATTTAAACAAATTTATTAAACCCTGTAACCAATATTGCATTGTCAAGGCATTCAGCTTAACTCGAGAATGGAAGGTCACAGAATACTTAATATTGATTAATGACCACAATGCTTGAACTGTTGTTCAATTTGGACTTGAGGTGTGGCTTTGATTCCCTTCTTGTGCGTGACAAGGAGTTGGGTCGCCAACCTCATGGCTTTTCTCCGGGTCCTCCTATTTCCTCCCATTACTAAAGACCCCTACGCGCAAGTGAATTATTGAAATTAGGGCTGGCAATCGATCCTGTTTCAAGTATTGATTATCGCCGATCAATAATCAATAATATCGGCAAATTATTTTGACTTACAATTGATTTGAAAACAATCATGTGTACATGAATAACGAATTATATGCGAGTTTATGTTGTGATATCATTCTGTATACATGTAGAATTTTTTTCATTTATTTGACAATAAAATAATAGCATTCCATATCAAAACAAAGGTGTAGAAAGAAACTCGATCAACTTCATTTGGAAGACATAACCGCCACCGCTCGCCATATCTTTGTCGCTTATGACCAGAATAATAATGACTAAAATGTAGTTATTTCCTCTTCAGACATTTCTTTGCAAATACCTTGATAAACTAATAAAAGGAAAGTACGTGTTTGACTTAGAAACAGAGAAGATGAAAGAAATGGAGAGTCAAAATAAGGGGAATAAGGGGCACACTGAATATTACGTGAAACCATTGGCTCTCATCATGACATAAGCGTCCAACATTACTTACCAGTGGCGTCTCGCGTGAAAAAACAAAACGTGTGCGTTTTATTATGACTATTCTGTTTAATTACAGTTCTAGACCCAAGCACGTGTTGCAAAGAATACAGTGATAAGGATTATTTTTATGGACCTAAGTACCTATAATTGTGCGATATTCGATATTTTAAAACTGTATCGATAATCGATTTTCAAAACGCTTACCGACGATTATCTGCAATATCAATATTTTCCACCAGCCCTAATTGAAATAAAATTGAACCATGTCATAGTCCCAAAATGACCTAGTTTGTGTCGAGTGGACTTAAACCTCATTTCTCTCTCTCTCTCTCTAGTTCCGAAATGACCTAATAATTGATTAGAAATTACTACCGTATCAAAATTGTTAGAAATTTGAAAAAAAAAATTCAATTTTTATACATGTACATGCATTATGCAAGAGCAAAATCTGCTTATTACTAGTCTTTCTTTAAGCCTGAAATGTTATCTAAATTATCAATTAGACATTAATTAACTTATCCAGACCATAATAAACTCTCGATGTCAAGGCTAGCCTTTGATGTTGGCTGGATTAGATTCCTATACATGTATGCCGCTAACGGCCATTGATAATTAAATCAAAAAAAGTGGATAATTGAGACTATGCTGTTTATATTAATGATTTTAGTAATGATGACCGAGACTATGCAAAAATTTCACCCGCTTCTTTCTCGGCTCATAGTGGATCAATTTGACTGAAATTTTCAGCAAATTACCTTTACACTATCTAGTTTTTAACTATTATAGCGAGAACTGCCATCTCTTTATCTTATCTCCCATAATGTATCTTTAATTCTCGTCAAAGAATAGAGACATACACCTTTAAGCAATAAATACAGAAATAGAAACACAAACACCCCCTCTGGCTATTAATAATAATAATAATATATTGCATTTGATAATGCGCCACATCCACCCAAGTGAGTGCTCTGTGCGCGGCTGCATGTACATTTACATATGTCTGTCATATAGGTACTAATATTTGTTTAACTGCAGTCATGCAAATGTACCGGTAGATAAATCACAATCCATCCTTGAATAGAGTTCATGTTTATAAAGGTGCTCAATCGAGTTCAAGCCATATTGAGTATCTGAATCTCGATACAGGAGAGTTTTTTGTCAAGCATTTTCTACAGCTGAAAATCATTTTTGTACCCATCATTTCCATATTATTTTTTATATCATTGATAAATGAATTGGCTGTAACAATCTGATTAAAATACATTTCGTTTTGTTTTTTTATACTTTCGATGGCCTACACTACATGAAGATCTGGCCAGTTGTACTGGAAGGTTGTGTCAGGGGTCGTACGAGCGGCTTTTGACCCTATGACATCAGACAGTGATTAATCTATCAGCGCTGACGTTTCTAGTGGTTTACCCACAGTTCTGTGCATCGCATGCCAAGAAGTCGCCGTAACCGATGGTTTCATTGGCTAATCCCTCACGTCATCCAGAATGCAGGTTATATAACAACTCTTCCAGATCCTAGTGTAGTACAGACAAATAAAATGAAATTTTGAACTATAAAAAACGAAAAGAAATACATGTAGGATCTGTACATGTGTTTTAATCAGATTGGCTTATTCCTTCAAAATCACACTGATCACAAATTCACAACACAAAAAATATTGTAAGAATTAAAAATGAAACAATTCAGTACAAGAGCACAAAAGAAATAAATGACTATTTCCACCTGTAATTAAAAAAAAAATCTGATTTTTAACCCGATTGTTATCCAGGACCAAAAAGTATAGCTTTTTTTATACATAATACATGTGTAATTTCACGCCAAGTCTTACCAATTCAATTATACTTGTAGATAAGAAATATATTCAGTAATTGATTGTGTAATGTGATAAACTTGAGTTGATAGTTGTATAAAAGGGTGTTCAATGAAAAAGTCTGTAGGGCATTAGATTTAACCGATAGTCCATGACAAGAAATTGGTGACGTGGACAATGTGTCAATGTATAAAAGCTGGTGTGGAGGATATATGGATTGCTAGTACAGGTGATATTGTTATTAGTAGACATACAGTGGTAAGAGAAGCATCAGTGTGTCTACAGTGTATAAAACATTTTAACTAGGATCAGATTTAGAAATGTCTCAAAGTAACGGTAGTTTTTGTACAAATGGAAATACGAATAAGAAAGTTGCTTTAGTAACTGGTATTACTGGACAGGTATGAATAGTTTTAATTTGTTCTTTTCATTAATTAACTGCTTAACTTTTTAACTAGCAGAAATGAAATGGGGCTTAATGTTCTTTTCATTAATTAACTGCTTAACATTTTAACTAGCAGAAATAAAATGGGGCTAATATTCTACTTTTCTGCACCAACTGGGCTAATGACAGGTCTTATGATAGAGCGTGCATGTACTAACCATTCGGCCATCCAAACCCAACCCCCCTCCTCCCCCCTGGGCTAATGAAGATTTGCACACACCTACAGTGTGCCCGACAGTGGTGCCGTCTATTCATTTTTATACGTCCACATTCATAATGTGAACGTATTATGCCGTCGCCCCTGTCTGTGTGTGTGTGTGTGTGTATGTATGTGTGTGTGTGTGTGTGTGTGTGTCTGTGGTTCGCCTACAGGGCGCAATTCTTCATGGATTTTCTTCAAACTTGGTATACTTATTCCTTATACCCCAAGGAAGATCCCTATTGTTTTTGGTGCATGCCCGACCCCCCGGGGCAGAGCCACGCCCATTTCTAGTATTTGTTTGTTTGTCGTCTACAGGCCACATTTCTTAACTAATAATCTTGAAACTTTGCATACACATTCTTTGTACCCTAAGGAACATCCCTATCGTTTGGGGTGCATGCCCAACCCCCAGGGGCAGAGCCACGCCCATTTTCTTTTCGTGTGTCTTTGTGTCGCCTACAGGGCGCAATTCTTCATGGATTTTCTTCAAACTTGGTATACTTATTCCTTATACCCCAAGGAAGATCCCTATTGTTTTTGGTGCATGCCCGACCCCCAGGGGCAGAGCCACGCCCATTTCTAGTATTTGTTTGTTTGTCGTCTACAGGCCACATTTCTTAACTTATAATCTTGCATACACATTCTTTGTACCCTAAGGAACATCCCTATCGTTTGGGGTACATGCCCAACCCCCAGGGGCAGAGCCACGCCCATTTCCCATTTTCTTTTCGTGTGTCTTTGTGTCGCCTACAGGGCGCAATTCTTACTGGATTTTCTTCAAACTTGGTATACTTATTCCTTATACCCCAAGGAAGATCCCTATTGTTTTTGGTGCATGCCCGACCCCCAGGGGCAGAGCCACGCCCATTTCTAGTATTTGTTTGTTTGTCGTCTACAGGCCACATTTCTTAACTTATAATCTTGCATACACATTCTTTGTACCCTAAGGAACATCCCTATCGTTTGGGGTACATGCCCAACCCCCAGGGGCAGAGCCACACTTTATATACTTATTCTTTGTACCCTAAGGAACATTCCTATCATTTGGAACATCCTTATCATTTGGAGTAGGCCCTACATGCCCAACCCCCAGGGGCAGAGCCATGCCAATTTTCTTTTTGTGTGTCGCCTACAGGCCACAATTCTAAATCGATCATCTTGAAACTTAAAATACATATTCCTTATACCCTGAGGTTGGTCCCTTTTCTTTTGGGTGCATGCCCGATTTTGGGGAGATAACTCCATTTAACAATGTCAAACTCCATTTAACAATGTCAAACTGACGTGATATGCTTTAAATAGTTGTCACCCATGTAACATTCGGGTTTTTGTGAGTGGTTTCTGAGAGCCTTTGTTCAACTTATTTTTCAGAACGCTTTGTAAGTGTTAGAAGTATTTATACCGGTTATTTGTTGACGTTTCAAACCACCGTTTTCTCCCCCTTTCCTCCCACTGCTAAAGACCTTTTGGTACTGCAATGACAATGTCTCTCTCTCTCTCTCTCTCTCTCTCTCACACTAAATAAATTATAAATTCATGTAACTGCAAGTACATGTGCGTTTTCAGGATGTACATTTTTAAAAAGTCTTATGTTTGGGTGTCATTCGTTATTATAATTTAGTACCAAATTTATTATTAATAATTTGTCTTTTAAGAATATTAAGTACTTTTGTCAGATTGGGATTTAATTTCAGACTTCGGTTTCACTTGGTTCGGAGGAGATAACTCCGTCTAACAATGTCAAACTGGCGTGATATGCTTTAAAGAGTTGTCTCCCATGTAAAATTCGGCGTGATATGCTTTAAAGAGTTGTCTCCCATGTAAAATTCGGGTTTACCCCAAGGAAGATCCCTATTGTTTTTGGTGCATGCCCGACCCCCAGGGGCAGAGCCACGCCCATTTCTAGTATTTGTTTGTTTGTCGTCTACAGGCCACATTTCTTAACTTATAATCTTGCATACACATTCTTTGTACCCTAAGGAACATCCCTATCGTTTGGGGTACATGCCCAACCCCCAGGGGCAGAGCCACGCCCATTTCCCATTTTCTTTTCGTGTGTCTTTGTGTCGCCTACAGGGCGCAATTCTTACTGGATTTTCTTCAAACTTGGTATACTTATTCCTTATACCCCAAGGAAGATCCCTATTGTTTTTGGTGCATGCCCGACCCCCAAGGACAGGAACTATTGATGTTGATGCACGACCCTCAACGCTAAACAAACCAAAAGCCTAGCCTTCTTGACAAAGTACCTTGTCAATCAAAGCAGAATTGGAATGTGGACGTATATTGTAGCGTTAGCGTTATGTTTCTGAATTGCAACTCTCAAAGTTTGTTTTACTGGAACACCAAAGTTTACACAGGCCTTCAGTTTTTCATCCCATCCGAATGATTTGACAGTGTTCCTTGCCACAGTGTTAGGAGATTTACTGAATAAAACTGGTATTTCACGTGTTTGACCAAATGGTACAAATGGAGTTACATGGTTAGGGTTAAAAATCTCTGTGGACATGACTGAAATATCTGTGGTCAATATGTTATAGGCATAGCCTAGGCCTATATACAAAACTTGACACCCACACACATTTAAAATTCGTTACAGTACTAAGTAGAGGGGGTTTGAAGATCTGTTAAAGAATTTATCTGTATTTGATATCGCTAGGTATAAAGTGTTGTATAAGTACATGTATTATCTCCTGAGATATTTTATTATATTAATAATTTTATGGTGTTTAGAGAAAGAACTATATCTCATTCATAAAGTGCCTAACAACAGTTAATAATAATAATACATAGTAGAACATTTGCCAGTCACTGCTCATATTTTAGCATGGGAAATTACCATTCGGAAATTGTTTTTTCCTATTTTGAAAGTCACAGTAGAAGAAAGTAGGTCCCAGGTTCGATTCCAGAGTTTCTCAGGAATTTCCAGCCTGGTTTTCCCTTCTCAAGTTAAAGTGTCTACTCATTTGGATGGGACAAAAAACTGAGTTACATATGTATTCCATTGGAAGCAAAATATGAGTTGGCCGTAGCACAAAATCTCCCTATTTGCACACAGCATGGTCTATGTCCATTGAGCTTGGTTGATGTAGAAAAGTAGGATTGATTTCATTTTATTTCGTATGTGACTTAGTGAGGTTCATGTATATCAATAGACGGGTGTGGTTCAGTTCAACTCTGTATTGTTATTAGAAACTGATAAAAAAAACCACTCTATTGAAATATATGTGAAGCATGACAGATCTACATTCATCACACAAAACCTGGCCAAATGCATGTAACTACATTCCTGACTTAAATCCATTTACTATGTGAATAATATAAATAAGGTTTAAAGTATTTTCATTGTCAGTAATTGACAAGACTCATTTCTGCTAGCTGATTTTATGAGAGTCAAATTATAGGAGGAGAAATATACATGTACTTGCAAGTTGAGGTTATGCTGGATACATGTATATATCATTGTGCTTACATGTAGGTATAATACAACACGCACACGCTAAGCATTCAGCCATCCCCCCCCCCGCCCGCCACCGTTGTAGCAATATGTTAACGATGCATACCTGTGTACAAACGGGGGGTTTTCTCCGGGTCCTCTGGTTTCCTCCCACTGCTAAAGACCCCTATGTGCAAGCAAATTATTGAAATAAAATTAAACCATATGTTAGTCCCGAAATGACCTAATTTGTGTCTAGTGGACGTTAAAGTTAAACCCTATTTTCTTTCATTTACATCTTAAAGTTATCATCTGATTACATGTTTTGTATAAAAACTGGCAGAACTAGGAAGAAAAACCGATGATCATTTACATAGTTATGGCCCTTTGTTATAAAGGCACTCAATCAAGCTCAAGCTTTATTGAGGATCTGAATTTACAACCGTCTTGTCAAACCTTCAAAGACTAATATCTTCGCTCGCAGTAGAGTAATTTGAATGAAATTTTCAAATTATTCATTTTACATGTACATGTATCTATTTTCCAACTATTATTGCAAGAATGGCTAGCTCTTTATCTAAATCTTACATAATGTATCTTTAACTACCATTATCCTCATTATTGTATTGTTTTAACTATTCCAGGATGGGTCATATCTGGCTGAATTCCTCATTGAGAAAGGTTATCAGGTAAGCATTTCATCTACTGTACATCCTCATGATTTCAAATGGTTAGAAAATGTTTGTCCTTAATTGCATTCAATGCAAATTGGATGGGATTTTAAAAAATGCCAGTCAGCATTGTTAAACATTTATTTAGTGAATTGTTGAAGTCAACCTCTAGTGGTTTAAATTAGATTATTGATGATTAAATATGTATGCTCTATAATTAACTTCTCTACTGATTTGTTCTAACACAATGTAACACCTGTTGACATTGGAGTAGACAAAACATCAATAGAGACTTTAACAGGTGTGGTAGGTTGTCCTGAACCCAGAGAAGGAAATATTCAAGCAATTGTAGAATAGTTTCCAGGCCTATAGAAATTTGGAGATTTAATTAAATTAAAAAGAATGTTGTCTCCATTTTCCAACATTCCACATGGTTTAACATCGAAGATGAGCATATGCCACGCATTAGGAGGAATTCAGAGAAAACCCATGATGTTAGACAGCAACCCTACTCCTTGTCACATGGGGGATTGAAACCATGCCACTTAACTCAATGACAGGCCGTATAAACTAAAGCGATTAGCACAGGCCTTAGGCCATTCGACCACCCAACCTCCATCAATGATTAACCAAGGGATCCTGGGTTCAATTCTGGTAGCGACCAAGAAAGTTCTGCAGGATTCCTTGAGTTGTTTCCCTTTGTAAGTGGTGCAAGATACTCAATAGATGGTTAGTAGATAGAGAGAAACCGGAGGACCCAGAGAAACCCCATGAGATTGGACAGGCAACCCTACTCCTTGTCACATACAAGTGGGTAGAGAGAAATGGGGTTTAACGTCCACTTGACACAAACTAGGTCATTTCGGGACTAACATGGTTCAATTTTATTTCAATAATTTGCTTGCGCGTAGGGGTCTTTAGCAGTGGGAGGAAACTGGAAAATGAGGAAAAAACCCACAAGGCTGGACACCAGTCAACTCAATGATAAACTTTATGATAGATCTTCGCCCCCCCCCCTCCAGATGGTTAGTACATGTACCTAGTACACTGCCGTATATAGCAGAGTTACAGATATACAATCCATTACAACACAACTCTGCTGCTACCCTTGTGTCATATTCCTGAAGCAACATCCCGAGAAATCCCTCTCTGGCCATTACTGGATTGGCTTCTAATACTGGAGCTTTTGAGGGAGTGTGTCTATTCTTCCCGTTCAATCAAATCTATCTCGAGTACAGCAACATAACAGCCCATCGTTTAATCTGGGATCTTCCCTAAAACTTTGGACAGTGATTTAAGGTATTAAAAACGGTGAAAGTATTGTCCGTCTCCAAACAGTATTGTTTACATTGTAGCCGTTTGATAACCTTTTTTGTCACGCAATTAGTTTTTCTGCAATATTCTGCTATGCACTGGTTAATTGCGCGTTATAAATTTCGTGAGTCATGACGTAGCGTTATGTAAACATATTTGGTCCAGTTTGGAGCTCTGTTTAAAGGCGAATTATATTAGTAAGCAGTTAGGTATTGGTTGTTAATCGGACTATTACAGCAGTGTTAAGTGGGATTAGGTTTAAACACTGCGAGGAAGTATGCCCTTGATACATACATGTATAACTACATGTACATGTGTGGTTAACTAAATCTGTTCAGGGATTTTAAGTATTTATATGAATCTGTCTTCTACATAAAATATACCAAAGGGTTTAGATCAGACCAGGGTTCATATTCAAAGGTTTTCTTAAAGTTAAGTAAAAATATTTAATTTTTCCACTTAGCCAAGTGTCTTACATTAAATCGGTATTCCAAGGCTCTATTTTACATATACTTGGCTATGTGAAAAACTTAACTGCACACTTAAAATATGGAATACCAACCCCTGTGAAAATACACACTGAAATTTCAGTGAGAGATTTGGTCAAAATATTATTGAAATTTCAGTGAGATTTTACTGAAATTTCAGTGAAATTTCAATGAGATTTCAGTGAGATCTCAGTGAAATTTCAATACAATTTTGACCAAATTTCTCAGTGAAATCTCACTGAAATTTCAATAATATTTTGACTAAATCTCTCACTGAAATCTCATTACTATTTCAAAGTCTATTATTAGTATTAACATGCATTCTGAAAAAAAAAACTCCAAACAATTACAATATTACTATATTATTAATTATCCCTCAAATTTCTGTATCCCGTCTTCTAAATTTTCTTTTTCTTCTAGTGTTGTCCTTTTCTTCAATGATAATAAAAATATATGGCCTGAAATGACACAATCAAAATAATATTAAATAAAGATAGGCATGTGCCATGCAGTGTGCTGTTAGAGCATTCAGCAGTTTCAAAATTATCCTGTCAAAAACAAAGCATATAATATAAATTTTGGGATAAATGTGTATCAGCTGTCACTAGTGGCAGGCATTTAGTAATTACTTCTGAATACACAAGGTTATAACACTGATAATTTACTCTTTAAATATCTTTTGGTTTATCTTAGTGGATCCGTAATATATATAGACAGAACCCTTTTACCTTATTTTTTAAAAACTAAACATAGCCAGGTCACATAATTTGCATGATGAAAGTTAATTTACCAATACATAGCCCGATCTACTAGAATTTAAACAACTATACTCACCATGCCATGGCTGCTTTTGAAAATACGCCTTATCAGTACATCCATTTTATAATTAACTACTTCAAAATTTATCCAACAAACCATTCTGTGATACATGTAGGTGTTTTGGGGGTCATATAATCCAAAAATTTACGTCCACAAACACAACTCTATATTATTCCAAATACGCGCCTTTTTCCAGGAATTTCAACATTTGATTAAAAATTCGGAATTCTTTAGCGAAACGGTGAAAAGAACTTCGGTTAATTAAGCCTGTTAATCTGTTTAAATAGCGACACCAGTTTATCAATTTAGTAATTTAACATGCACGCAAGGTCATTTTGTTTGCATGAGAGTTTCATATAATTTACAGCCATTTCCAAATATGGCTATTGAAGTTATTGAAACACGTGTGTTACGTTTGAGAAAATAGCCATTCTATCATAATACAACAATTATCGGAACATATCGGAAAAAATTTTGATGTTGATATTACTTAGCACGTATTCATGGATTACGCACGGTGATGGACGAATAAAATAAACGTCAATTAAATTGTCTACTTCAGGAAATAACGTGATTAATTAATGGAAATTAAAAACATTCGAAGTTCTCTCTTCACAAATTACAAATCTTTATATGCAGTTATTAAAATATTTGCAATGAAAAAATGTCATTTTTATGTTTTGTAATTTCAGTGAAATTTCAATGAAATTTGCAATATAAATATTTCAGTGAAATTCCAGTAGACCAAAATATATTTTATTTCAGTGAATTTTCAGTAGACCAAAATTTTTGTTCATTTCAGTGAAATTTCAGTAATAGACCAAAATGTATTTTTATTTCAGTGAAATTTTGGTGAGATTTCAGTGAAATTTGGTCATTTCAGTGAGATTGGGCAAAATTTTCAAATTTCACTGAAATTCACTGAAATTTCATTATCATTTTCTCTGGGGAACATTAGCCAAAAAACATGAATTTTTAACTTATGGAATAACCTCCACTGCCAAAAATCACGAATTACTCACGTCACATGCAAGTTATGTCACCTTAAGAACACGGCTATCCTCTGTTGAAATCTTAGTTGTCATTACCAGGAAAATGTTTGTCGAAATATTATATTGAGAATAGTATGACTATAATTTATGATACATTGTAAATTATGATAGTACGCATCCATTACCGGAACAGTTGTTTTCATAGATGTTTTTCAAAAACAATAGATTTCAATTGCAGCTATCGAAGAGTGGTATAGTATAATGATGAATATTGTAAACTTTAATATTTTAACAATGTATAACAAATTGTAAACAGCATATTAGCATGTTTATCAATCTATCATTTGATAAATTTATAGAAATTGTGTCCGTGCCTACACTTTAGAATCCCAAAACGTGTACGAAACATGCATGTGGCGTAATTTTCTACCTGAATAAATAAATCTCAATCACCTAACTTTAAAAATCGCTATTACGGGCTAAGCACTAATATAAGTTAAGACAGCTGAACTTCAAGGGAAAATTTGATACAGTACTTAACATTGACTTTGATTACCACTTACCCTTAGCTAAGTGTCTAACTCAATATCATCCAAAGTCTTTGACATTGAAAACAAGAATTATTTGTCAATTTAAATCAACATTGATTTTGTGATCTTACTGGTAAAAGATGAGCTTGTCATATCTAATATTTAAGACAGAATATTTTACCATTGGTACACGAATTTTGTACCATAATGCGTTTTTCAGCACCATTTGTAACAAGGGACTCGAAGAATGAGTGCTAGACATATTCCACAAGTCATGTCAAACATTGATGCCGTATTCTTATCAAGAGAGCATGCGCAATAAATACATGTACTATTGTGTGGACTGGAATAACCAGATGCTAAAGACTTCTGGCGTATTGCGCCGAACATAACTGATTAAAAATTAAAGTAAAAACAGAAACGGTTGAATGTAAATCAGAAATTAGCGCATTTACCGGTAATTTGGATAACCCCGTAATACTTGATATCCCAAACTTAAGTACAGAAATACAAATGGTGCCAGTCATTTGTCGATATCATTATTAGCTATATATAATAATAACCATTTCTATACATAAAGAACAACTTTTATCGTAACTCCATTTGAAATTTACAGTGAATATGGAATTTTCCGATCACTATGCATAACATGTACAATAGATATCCCTCATTTCTCAGCCAATCAACGCTGGGAATCTTATTACCATGTACGGTTCCATGTACTACGGGTGTAGTAAATGAGGTTAAACTTCGGCGCGAAAATTGCACGGGATCATACGTGGAGTTCCTGGTGCCGTTTGGTGAGTGATTAAACTGTCAATGCAATGGTAAAATACTTTTATTAAAAAGAAGATAAACGATTGTTGTTTAAACGC